TAATAGGCCTTTCTTCTTTGCCTTATTAATGGTGGAATTTGCTCCCTGAGCTGCCCTCAGCAACCTTCTGCCTGATTCTATGCAACAAGACTGTCCTGAGAAAGCATTTTCCAAATTCTTTTATCTTCTCTCCTCATCTTAGTACCTCTTTGCCTCTCCTGGGCTTCAAAGTGGTCACTGACAAAGTCAAGGCCTTTTGGAAGTGTTATTATCAACTGGAATTCTCTTAGATGTCTGATCTCCAGCAAAATAAGGGTTAAATACTTTGTGATAACTTCAGTGCAGAACTGCCAACTCTCTTAAGTTCAGCTCAGCAATCAAACTGCATAACCTAATAGAGCCCCTGGTGCTACGGGAAACACAAGACACTGATTTATATTTTAATATCAGTAATTTCCACAAGAGCAACATTTCTGAGTGTCATTTTACAATTTCTGTCAAATGCCAGCTCAGTTTTTCTTAATTTTGTTTATTGTGTCTGAATTTGCAACCTCATCAGCAATGCAGATTCTTGGCTCCCAGGAGAGAAGAACATTTCCATCTTTCTCTGGAATGAGAGAGATGGGGTTGAGGGGAAGAAATGGACCCATAAAATAATTGGAAATAGAAATAAAGTACTGTTTATTAAGAAATGGTTATGAAGTACTTAAAAAAAAAGAGGCAGCCATAAACAAACTCTGCAAAAAATAACAAGCAAAAGGAGCATCTGGGATCCAAACTGGTATCTTTCCTTCAGAAGCAAGAACTGTTTGTACACTGCAAAATTGAGAAGAGGGCTGGTATAGGAGCTATTTGGTTAAGTTTACTATAAGAACTTTGCTATAGCCATTAGCACTACATCAGGTTGTAAAGTGCTTTGGGATCCTTAAGGATCAAAGGTATACAGCTACATAAATGCCAGATGTTGCCATTAGAAAGAAGGCCCTGGTTCTCTCCTGTGTTCTTTTAACATCTAATAAAAGAACAAAGCTGGCACCAAACCACATCTCCTTGTTGGTGTACTTAAGGGGTGGGAATATTTTTTGTGGCCACTGGCTGCAGATGCATACCCTTGCATACCCAGTGTCATACCCTAGTTCCCTACAGGTCAGCAGCTTCAATTTCTGTATTGGTCCTTTCCTGGACAGATCCTGAGTAACCTCCTATAAAAGCTCGATGTAATGCTCTTCTTCGAGGACTGAAACTTAGCTTTGGCTAGAGAGGATGTCTCCCTTGGTTGTTACAGAAAGCCAGCCAAGAGTCAGAAGTCAGGCACTGGCGATACTCAGGGCCCTTCCCAAACAGAGGTGTTGTTAAGTCTCCATAATCCTTCTTTTATCCGAAGCCACAGCTCCTGTAGGTTATCTGGAATCGAAAGCCACTTGTTTTGCTTCTGGTTGGTGTTAAGACCTCGTGCATTTCACCATCCTCCTTCAGTTTCATACACTCTAAATCCAACATCATGTCTCATTGCCCAACCCCTGGCAGAAGCTGTGTTGGGTTTCTCAGTGGAGCTATCGACCACATTGACTGAAGCCGCAGCAACATGTTTCTCCCCATCCAAAAGGGTAAAAATAACAGGAACAAGTTGTCGGAAATGAAATTTCAATTCATCCACGCCCTTTCTACACTTCTGCTGTGACTCCCAAGCAGGGATCGATAGTGTTTAGACAGCCAAGGAGATTTTTTCCCCTCTTAAAGCACCAGATCAAAAGTAAAAAAAAAAAAAAAAAAAGTCCTCCAGCCCTCTGTATGTGTTGTAGTAAATGTGAACAAATCAGAGGCCTTTGGCTAAACGGATTGACTGAAGACAGCAGCAGTCCAGTGTTTTGTAACTAAGAGTGCATTAAAAAAAAAAAAAAAAAAAAAAAAGAGTGCATCAACTGCACAAGTGGCGACCAGGGAGGAAACCCCAGTGCTCCCAGGGTTCTGATAACAAGGAAGCTTCAAAAGCAATTTCTGTCGCGAAAATGAATGAAAGAAATGAAAGACTCCTGTGCATTGCAACATTTGGGCATGACTTTTATAAAAATTAGAAATGATTTACAAGGATTACTGATCATCATGGAAATGTGTTTTATTGGAAGATAGCTTGGACTGTGGAGCACTCTGTACTTCCTCTCCATTTTGTATTTTGCATTTTTATGTATATATTTAAAGTTATTAGCTATCTCTTTTTCTCAGTGCTTCACAAGTTTTCTTCCCATAATTCTGTCCACTTTTTCCTAGGAAGATTCTGAATCTTGTATTTCTAGGTTACCTGTCATGTCTCTACTTCATCTGGTTTCCTCATTTTCTACCACTGATGGTCTCTGAGGACTATTTTCTCTCCTCCTCTTAATCTTATTATTCATATGAGGGAGAAATTGGGTCAAAGCTCAACTCTGATTTTCCTCAAATGACATACCCATGAGCACCTTTCTTTTCCTGTTATGAAAATATCTATATTTTATTGCATCTTTCTTTCCATCAGACATAAATAATATAGTGTGCAGATATGCGCATGAGTTAGACTGATTTCCAAATTTGGTCTTTTTGCTTCAAAAACCAGTGAACCAATGGATTATAGCCCTAATTATGCAATGAGAAACTGAAGACTTCTGAGGCAGACTGTCATAAAACAAATCCTTAGATTCACTTAGAAGAGCCAACCCAGAGACTCAAACATATCTGGTCCTCCTTTGAGGGTCTAAAAATTCTTCAAGTTTCAAAACCCAAAAGTGAACCATTATGAACATGTGAACACCAGCCTTCATTATAAAAGGCATTATTCTTATCAATGATGATCATGCTAACTTCTGTTATGAATTAGGATTACATATGAAACAAAACACTGGCTAAATCTAGTATAGAATCATGTAAAAAACTAGAATGTGAACACATTAGTTTTGATAATATAGCCACTTATAGGCTTAGTTAAATACATGTTTATAATCATAGATAAAAGAGATAGATTGTGCTATAGACAGAAGCTTGCCTTAGAGTCCCATCCTGCCTCGTATGAGCCCTAACTCCAAACAAGCCTGTTCTTATAGTCACTGGTATATCTCCAAAATATGCTAGGAAAAGAGAGATGTACCTTCATCACTTCAAAAGTCTAGAGGTTAGGTGATAGCAGGAAACCTCTCACTCCTTATTTAGTTTTTATTAGTACGTTTGTAGTATATGATTATATTCATCATGGGGAATTGGTTCATGTAAATAACGCATCTTAATTCTTTTCATGTCTTGTTCCCTTCCCCTCCTTCACCCTCCCTTCATCTCTTGGTCCCTTTCCTATTTGCAAAAGATCTATCTGCCTGTTCCCTATTATCTATCTTTATTTATATTTATACTGTGGGTTTCTCATAGAAGAGAAACCATGTGATATTTAAGCTTGTGTGTCTGATTTATTTCACTTAACATTATGGTCTCAGGGTGCATCTATTTTCCTACAAATGATTCAAATGTATCCTTCTTTATAGCAGAGTAATACTCCATTATTTATAAATAGCACATTCTCCTTATCCACTCATCTGTTGGTGGACATATGAAACATCTCTCTTGATAGCTATTTTCAAAGATGGAAAATGAGAAACAGAGACTATAAATATTAACTTATTCAGTAATTCCTGAGTGCTTGAGAACCCAGTATAAATTAAATGAAGCAGAGTTTTAATGACATTGTAATTGGTAGCCTCTCCCTCCTGATGGTTTTTCTTATTAGCATTTTTAAAGTTTAAAGTTTAAATGAGGTCATGTGGTTCCATAGTGTGAACAGGCATTGAGCTCATGCAATCCAATTGCTCCTCATGTACACTGTCTCCACTCTCTCCTCTGTTCTGTGCCTCTGAGGTAGACCTCTGCATTCTATCAAGCTGCTTCCTTGCACTGTGGCTTCTGGTTTGTTTGGCCAATGCAGAGCAACAGCAGGAGATCAGAGGGTTTATGGATGTGCAGAATTTGCATGTTTGCCTGTACACTTGCCCTGGCAGATCCTTAGGGGTGACCAAGACTTCATCGCTCAGGGTCTTCTCCGTGCAGCTTCTCTTGCCCATTTCAATGCTGCTCCCTTCCTCTGCTGGCCCCTGAGGCCTGGAGTTAGTCAGGGATACACATGGGCACTACATGATACTGTGTAGCTTCCTCACATCACACCCACACCTTTGTGAGATAACCCATAAATTACTCAGCTTGAGCATGCCATCTACTTCCTGCTGGGATCCTGATTAATAAGGTAAATGGTAGAAAGGCTCATTAGCAGCAATACTCATTTCCTAGAGCTACTGTAACAAAATACCACAAATTAGGTGGCTCAAAACAATAGAAATGGATTGTCTCACAGCTCTGGTGGCTAGAAGTCAGATCACAGTAACAGCAGGGTTGATTCATTGGGCAGCTGTGATGGAGAGTATGTTCCAGGCCTCTCCACTAGCTTGGGGTGGTTTGCTGGTAATATTTGGTATTGCTTAGTGTACACCCATCACCTTCATTTTTGTCTTCATCTTTACATGACATTTTCCCTGTGTGAAAGTCTGTCTCCAAATTTCCCTTTTATGAGGGGACCAGTCATGTAGAATTAGGGACCCACTCTACTCCAGTATGCCCTCATCTTAACTAACAATAACTGCAATAACCCCATTTCCAAATAAGGTCACATTCTCAGGTACTGGGGGCTAGGACTTCAAATATGAATCTTGAGGAGGCAATTCACTTTTTAACAGCAGTTAAATATGCTTAAGTATTATCTACTATAAAAAATCCAGCAAGGTGTGGTGGCTTACACCTGTAATTCCAATACTCTGGAAGACTGAGGCAGGATTGCAAATTCAAGGCTAGCCTAGGCAATTTAGTGACTTAGTGAGATGCTTTCTCAAAGCAAAAAATATAAAAAGGGCTGAGGATGTAGTTCAGTGTGAAGGACTTGAGTTTAATCTGTAATACAAAAAAACCCCCCAAGTCTCCTGACCTCTATCTGCCTGCTTTCTCACCTCCTCACCTCTCACCATGTCTTCATGAATGACTTCTTTATATTTGTTGTCTCTTGATATTTCCTCCACCAACTGCTTCCCACCCCACTTCACAGTCTCCTCCTGGCTCCAGCAACTTTGATGGCTGAAAGTCAAACTTTTGTTATCAGATCCAATCCAATCAGCATTTTTGGTCTTTATTGTACTTAAAAAAACTTGATATCAGTGGCTACTTACAGAATCACTAGAAACACTTCCTTCTATAAACACTCTGTCCTTGGTTTGTGAGTCCTTCTGATTTTCTTCCTGCTATTTGGACTGCTCCTTGCTTTCCTTTGCAAGTACCTCTCCTGCCCATTCTTGATTTCTTCCCAAGATTCTCTCTTGTCTTGCCCTCCTCCTACTTTTTCCTACATCTTTTCTGGTCTATTCCACCTATTATCATGATATCAGTTACTACTCATATGAGAATTACTCCCAAAACAAAATCTCCAGCATAGCTCTTTTAGTGTAGCTCTAGATGGATCTATATATGCAACTGCCTTCTAGACTGCTATATATAATGGTTTCACAGATCTCTGCAATTCAGCATTTTGAAAAGTAAACCCATAATAATCTTCTACTCCAGCTGGAGATGGTAGTGCATGGATTTGGGAAGCCGAGGGAGGAGGATCACCATGAGTTCAAGGCCAGCTTGAGCTACTTAGTGAGTCTACGGCCAGCCTGAATGACATAGTGAGGCCCTGGCCCCCCCCCCAAAATCCTCTATTCCAGACCTGCTTTTCTTCCTATGTAACCTATTTAATTTATTTAACAAACACATATAAATGTGTTGTATGTCAGGCACTATCCTGAACACTTCACTATTAACTCATGTAGTCTGCATGACAAATCTATGATGTAGGTGCTCTGGTTACTTTCATTGTTGATGGGAACACTGACACACAGGGAGCTTAAGTAACTTGCCCAAGACTACACGGTAGTATGTAATAAAACAGGGATTGAAACTCATCAGATAGCTAAACCCTGGAGGTGGTGCTTATAACCTCTTCAATCTGCTGCCTCACCACCACCTACTCTGTTTGTCCAAGCCAGAAATCCAAGCACTATCTTGATTCTCTTCTCCCCTCTCCCCTTCTCCTCTCCTGTCCTGTCCTGTTCTGGCCTCCCCTGTCTTCCCTCGCCTCCCCCCTCTCTCCTATCTTCCTATCTCCCCCTTTCCTCCTCTCCCCCCTACTCCCAGTCCCCTCATTCCTACTTGCCAAGTCTTGGCAATTGTACCTTCTAAATAAATCAATTATTGGCTTTCTTTTCATCAACTCCATTGCCATACCCATTTTCCCAGTAACCAGAGATATGACCATATCATTTTGTTTGATGAAAACATTTCAGTAATTCTTCATTTTTTTTTATGGTAAAGTTTAGGTAAAAGGGCTTAGAAGTCCTTCCTTGATCTGAGTCCTGTTTTCTGACCCTCATTCCTGCGGTTCTTCATATTCCCCTCCACAGCTCTACTGAATTGTGTTCAGTTTTTCTGACACATTGCTTCTTGGCCTTTAGGCTAAGGTCAAGGGTAGTATGTGCTCTTATCAGTTCTCAGACATATATACTCCCAGTCACTGGGCCATGCTGCTTGTGCTACATTCATCATTCCATTTCCCTCTTCTCATCATCTTCGGGGCTGACTCTAATGGATCCTTCAGGGCTCAGGGTAAACATCATTTTTTCTACAAAATATTTTCTGCTTTCTCAAGCCTGAGTTCTTCCTCTAAACATGTGCAAGGACCTTTGAACCTGTCTAATAGGGCATTTGTCACATTATATTATATATATATATATTTTTGGTACCGGGGATTGAACTCTGGTCCTTGCGCTTGTGCAGCAGGTGGCGAAACCACTGAGCTAAATCCCCGGCCCATATTATATTATATTTTTATTTTTATTTTTATTTTTTTTGGTACCAGCTATCGAACTCGGGTCCTTGGGCTTGCGCAGTGGGTGATGAAACCACTGAGTAAAATCCGCGGCCCTGTCACATTGTATTATAATTGTGGGCATACATGTCTGTATTTCCTCTAGACTGTAGACACCATAGATTTAGAGACTATTTTTGTTGTTTACCATCTATCTCAAATGAGCATACAAGTACCTGGCATATAGTAGATGACTGATCACTCATATTTACTAAAGGAATAAAGAACCAATGAACTAATTTATAGTAAATCATTGTCAAGGGAGCTTGAATATTCTTGGTCCATATGACCAACATTTCTCTTCATAGCACAACATGAGAAACCAAAGAAATTTTGGGGTGACATAATTAGAAGTAAAGGACCTTGAAATAATCCAATATTGAATACCAACTGGCTAGGATGGAATCATGTGACTATCTCAGTTACCAAAGGTCTTTCCAAAGGTGCTGATACTCTCAGTCTGTCAGCCAAGGCTCCTTCTCTCCTGGACATCCCTAAGAAGGATCATCATTTCCTCTGTAACTCTTGTTTCCCTTTTCTCTGCATCATGAGATTGATAAGCTCTTTCCTTATACAGTCTATTATGCTCCAGTCAGGGTTTGCAGATCTGAGAGTTATTTTGTCTGTCTAAGATGACTCTGGGTGTGGATAGCTCTCCCAGAATAATTTTTTTCTTATTTTTAAGTTCTAGGAGAAGCCCTCTGTAATCCACCTTGAAGTTGCAAGGTCAAAGGACTATTGCTATTTAGAAGTACAGTGGATCATAAATTATGAAAGATTTTATGATTGAATTGTATTTGATCTTGCCTTTGATTCTGACATATAAGATGAGCTGAATTCTAGGATATTGAGGAGAAATAAAAATTTCCAACTGGAGCTAGAAGAGTAGGATAAGCACAATTGTGAAGAGCTTTAGATACTAAGATCTGGAATCTGGAATTTGTTTAGAGGCAAAAGGAAACCCTGCAATGCTTTTTGATCTGGGAGTGACACATCAAAAGTTGCTTCGTTCAGATTAGCTTGATCTCTGTGTAGAGGAGACAGAGTAGACAGCAGTAGGAAGAAGAGAGGAAGGCCTAGAAGACTAGATAGGATTTAGGAGATGACTATTCTCAAGTGAAAGAGCTAGTTGAGCAGAATAATAGGTTAGAAATCTATTTCTTTAATTTGTCACTACAATAGTATAATATAATGTTCAAACATATAAATACATCCTATAGAAGTTTGTTAAGCACCAATTAAACAAAGAACTTGATTTCTGAAGAAATATTTACTAAATGAAGTCTGTTGGCAGATGAAATTTAAAATAACATGTTGGTACAATGTTGTATTTCTGAATGGTTCACTTTCTTCAGTCACTAGAGGAGTCTACAGTTTAGTTCTACTAAAATGGGCTCCAAGAACTGTCTGCATTCAACTGGTTGAGTTAAAGTAGTCTGAGGTACTAGAGTAGTCAGGACTCGGAAAGCTTTTTGTTCTAAGCAATTCCTGTTGTAGTAGGATCCACACTATATCCTGTAGGATTGTTTGCCAATATTTCCTCTGTAGCCCTACAGTGTCAAGGTGAGATGAAGATAAGGTCAATTTTAAGGGGGTAGGTGAGTAGACCATACATATCAACCAGTTTATATTCCAAAATCTTTTTCCTTGTAGCTATTTTTTAATGATCACATTGTGGAAAGGAAGGGAGAGTGAGGTGGTTACATATGGGTGCTGCTATTGTTATGCTGGAAAATACTTTTTGATGAACAGTCATTTCCTTCCACTGCCGGAGGGTGTTGATAATGAGCAAATTACCTTTTACTCCCTCTGGTGTGGATGTGAAATTGGCTGTTAATAGAGTTGCTAATGCTACGGGGTTAGCATGTGATTGTTCTATTTTAAGCCAATTTAAGTTATATTTGGGGAGTAGCCAATCAGACATTTCACTAAGAACATGGGCCCAACTGTGGCATTTAATATCGAGAAACCTGCCTACCCCACAGATGTGGCTGTGAGCGGAAAGCGCTGAACATGCTGTCGTTAACATGAATTGTTTTAATACAATATCTTTTTTCTTTGGTAGGTACAAGAATGGTCTCATTAGGCAAATACCAAATGTTTTCATCATAGGATAGGACTCACTTCAAGCCCCAGTGATATAGAAGGCCATCAGCCAATAATGTACTTTGTTTAATCAAACAATGGGTTAATATTGGTCATTTCATTACTGCTTGTTATGCAGTGAAAGCTTACTAGAAAATGAAGTGTTCAGAGATTAGTTGAAAGGAGCAAAAGAGGTGAGAGATTTTAGCGAGTTATATGCTCAATTGGGCTAATTAAAGGTATATATGCATTAATGGGTTATGGGAACATCTTTGATTTCTAAAGATGCTTGCCTGGGAGGGGAATGATGTATTCTAATCATATATGGCAAGTGAGCCCCTGAAGGGCAGAGAACACAGCTTGTCTCTCTTACATGCTCCCTAGCCCTCCTCCTTAAAGCACCTATTGCCACCTGGCACCTGGTGGGTGAATTGAGGACATTACTTGGGAACATTTCTTGATTAAATAGGATATTCTTGAACAAAGAACTGTTGATTTGTGGTTTTCATGTTTTACTGGATTTTCATGTTTTAAATATAAAGCTCATTAACTACCCATAGAGAGGGAAAGAGGTATGAAGGATGGAAAATAAAACTCAACTGATGTGATACAGAAAGGTGCGGTGCATGCCATTCTGGTTTGGATTAATTGGGTTTGGCACAGTTAGGGCTCCTCTCACCTGATCAGTTTACTGGGCTGAAGAAATTGTTGGAGTGGAAAGTACTCCAACCACACCCCCTGCCAAAATACCTCCCAAGGAAATTTTAGGGACACAATCTCTAATTTGCCACAGAAAACTAACCCCTTGAATTTCCCACTTATTAAACAAACATTTACCAAGGGCTGCTTTGTGCCAGCTGGGATACAGAGGTGACTGGAATATGGACCCTGAACAAGGGAGCACAAAGGGTACCAGGGAGACACTTAGGGAAACAGAATATAGATGGTGATAAATGGGCTAGGAAGAGGTGATTAAAAGGCTTGGACATTTGGAAAACACTTTTAGTGCTGACCTGTTTTTGTCAAACAAATACACAAAGTACTTGTAGCATGTCAGGAACCATTTCATGGACTTTCTAATTATAACTCATGAATTCTCCTAACAATTTCCAGAGGAAAGATTACTATCATCTTCATTCTGTAGTTCATTTTGCATGGAGAGGTTAAATAACTTGCCCATGGTCACACAGCTCATCAATGCAGAGCCAGGATTTGGACCCATACTATCTGGCTCCAGAGTCCATGCCCTCAACCACTACATGCTGCCTTCCCTTTAAGTCAGTCACAGGAAGATGTATGGAAATCAGGAAGATGGAGGAAAGGAGAACTAGTGAGATGAAAATAAAAAGGACAGTGTTCAAGGCATGGATGAGCTTGTCAAAGGGCGTTGAGTAACTGTGTGACCCATAAAGAGAACCCCAGTGGCCAGAGCAGCAGCAGAATAAGAGGAGGTGCAGCTGGAGTGTGAGTGCCAATCCTGGAGGGATGCGAAGAGAATGGGCCAAGTGGGTCAAGCAGGGGCCAATGGGTGGACAACCAGAGAGGGGCCTCCGAAAAGGGAAAAGGCAGAGGGATGATGGCAAGGCTTACATCAGCTGCTGCAGAAGGTCAAGTAAAATGGGAAAAACCAATGGGACATTTGAGAGATTAGGAAGCCACTGCTGATCCTAATGACAAGGTCAGAGGAACTAAAGACTGGGGACACTGTAGTGAATGAAGAATTTCTCGGAGGGGAGTGGTGTGACTCCTAGAAAATTTACAGAAACAGAAAACAGGGGAGACAGAGACAGGAGAGCAAAAAAGAGGGAGTGAAAAAGAATAGAAGGGAAGATAGCCTAGCTAAGGCTCAGAGGCAGGAGGAAATGAAGAACAAGGGACTGACAGAAAGATGGGGTGGGAGAGGCAGTGAGGTCAGCACAACGGAAGTTTGGAACTTCTTGGCAGACCCCTGGCCTGACAATCTCTGGAGCACAATACAATTATTATTTCTTTCAGGCAGTGGAGCATAACATACAGAGGATCCTATGCTGATTTAATACAGGGCCTTCATAAGTCACTCCAGACTATGAGGACTTTGAGGGCAGTCTACATCCAGTAGAGTACCAGGCAAAAGCAGGTTCTTGGTGTATTTGTTGAATAAATGGGTCTTATTTACATTTTTATTGTGAATATTATAAAAAAGAATATGGCACTGATTTTAAAGCACTCAGAAATAGTCATAAAAACAAAAATTTTATGACCTGCAAGTCATTTTAGGAAATGTTGCAAATACATATATCTATCCTGCCTGAGGCCGGGAGGTAATAGGACCATTATAGGATTTCTCATTGGGTCATCAGAAAAGTTTCTGCCCTCATATTCCTGCTACTTCACAGACAGATTCTGTATTTTATTAAGGGTAAAAAAATGATTTCTGAGGCATGGGATATAGTTAAAGGTGTTAAGAAAATGTAAAACAATTTTACAAGTGACTTAACTACTAATCTGGATAAATGTTTATTCACAAAATGTTCCTGCATTATCTTTCCTCTTCCAGAAAGGTCAGGCACATGCCACTAAAAATACATTTAGTACATTTGAGAATATTTCCCAAGTGATTTATTGGGGGTATTGTATAGACTATTTAAATATATCTCTTATTTCCAGTAATGCCACAACCTCATTAGAAGTGACTTGGCTCATTGCTTAAGCAAAATGATTTAGCTATTTAGGACCTCTCTTTTAAAAATAGGCTATTTTCCTCTAATAGTTTACCAGAATTGGGGATCTATTTTTAAAAAGGGCTTGAGAATGGGCATGGTCATAGCCATGAGCCTTAGGGATTCCTCTAGAAGTTGTGTGTGTTGTATGTTCTGGCTCATTTCTCTCCTTTCCTGATAACTAGAGGGGAGGAATTCTCCATTTGAAGGAAAGGACACAGCCACTTCTCTGGGGGATGGTAGAATCCTCTAGAGAGGCTCTATACTGCGTTCTCAGTGGCAAGCACCCAGCCAGTAAGGTATTGGGCCTTGTTTTAGCAGTGAAAAACTGCATATGCTCTTTGGAGACATTTAGAACACCATGTTCTAAATACTAGACATACTAGAAAATGAAATTTGCTAACTACTGAGTGTGCAATACATAATCCCTTCTCTGTAGCTGATACATTCAGATGAATATAACATATATAGAAGTTATGAAGTAGGACAATAAAATGAACATGTGATCCTTCTGGGAGCTTAAACACTGCTGATTCGGTGGAACTTGTGTTCCATTTTCATTCTTCTAATCCCTGCCTCTCCCCTCAGAGGTAACCACTGTCCTGAATGTCTATTATTTATTTGATTAAAAATCCTTTTATTGTATATGAATGTATCTTTCTAAGGGAGGGAGATAAAAGAGAAAGATACATACACACACACACACACACACACACACACACAATTCCACCTAATAGTTTAAACTAGTATAGAAAGTACACAAATTTCCTCAGGTGTTTTGTTCTATCTGATGATCCAAATTCAACTATTGTAGGATGTTAAAAATGTTTCTGTATTGAAAGATTAAACAATTTATTAAATCTAGTTGGTGTGCATATGAAGAAAATGGCGGTTTCCTTTATTGTTTGTGAAATGTTAATTGCTTTCTTTCTTGAAAGTGATTTAGCAATATGGAACAAAATTTCTAAAAAAAGTACAATTGGTTCAGCAATTCTCCTTGTAAGATTTTATTTTAAGGGAAGTATAGAATAAGAATACAAAGATTGTACCAATAAACTTAATGGGGGGAAAAAATAAAATAAAAAAAAGAATACAAAGATGTTTGTTTAAGGATGTTAACTGTACACTTACTGAAAATAGCAAAAAGGTAAGGCAGAAATAATTTGAATATTCAAAAGTTGTTGGTTAAATAACTACACAGTATTTTAAAATGAAAAGATGTACATGTTATAGAGAGTAGGAAAAATACAACTATATAACATGTATGTGGACTATCCTATTTTTAGCACCATTCAACTTTTATAAAAATAATTTCCATATTTATATTCATGGGAGAAGTTATGGGTGCAAATACAGTAAATTCTATAAGCAATGGCAAGATTTTAGGTAATTATGGTTATCACTGGTTATCCGTATTTTTTTTCTTTAAGAAGCATAAATTACTCATTTTGATAGAATAAAGAATAATTTGTTGCAGTCTATTTATTAAACAGAGAGCTGGGAGATTTTTTTTGATACTGCCTATACTTGACTATCTATCCATCTGTAGATTATACTTGAAAAATTTAACATCAAAGATTGATACTTACTATGAAGATTTTTTTCTCCCTTGCTGTGCTCTCTGTGATGTAAGTTGATTTTTATGTCATCCTGAAAAACAGAAATACAATTACATAACTTTCAAATACATTCCATTGAGCAAAAAGTCAAATATCTGTATTACCCTTGACCATATACTGTATGCCCCAGCTCCAACTTATCAACATGGAACTTTCATACCATCACCAGCTAACTTTCCACTTCCCTGTGTTTTCCTCCAGGTGATTTAATATCTGTAATTCCATTTGTCATTACAACATTCCCATGAGGTGCAGGGTGAGCATGTATAGTGGTAGGTATAGTAATTACCAAGGCCATTTTTTATTTGGTGAAAAACTGGTCAAATATTTTCATTTTATAGTCCCTGGTCTCTCAGAGCCTTTGAAAATAATGGCTAGCAGTTCAGCTAGTTCATTAACTAATTCCCTTAAGGTTGGGGAATGCACATTATCTGGACCTGCTGCTTTACATATTATGCCATGTTTTCAAGTATTCCCTTACCTGGTTTATTTCAACATCTATATTTAAAGGTCTTCATTACTTCCTAATTATCTATGCTCCCTTTCTTTATTTTTCTTGTCAAAGACCAATTTAAAAGAGCAGCTCAGTATCTCTGCCACTCAGAGTCATCATTAATTTCACTCCCTTTCTCATTTATTAGTCCAGCTATTTTATAGCCCTTGCTTCCTCCTCCCTGGCCCATCTGCCTTGCCTCTAACCTTCTTGGCAGTATTAACTCATTCTGCTTGTCATCTGCTATTATCTTTCTTTCCTTGAGAGAACCTTAGAAAGAGTTGGTACATTCATTTTTTCTTTTCTTTTTTCTCTCTTCCTCATCTTTTATTTCTCCAGTGGGCCTTCTTCCACCCTTAGATCTTTTCAAGGTTCTTTGTCAAGCAGCTCTTTGCATTTTTCATTCAAGGTATCCTAAGCCTTTGTGGCTTAACTGTGATTTGAAAACTTTGTGCCCTTGTCTGTAGTGCTATCCGAGTCTCTTAATTCACCCAAATTGGATTTCTGAAAATCCTTGAACTTGAGCAAGTTTCTTAATGTTTTCAAATACAGAGATCAGATCATATCACCTGGGCAGAGGAGTTCCGGGTCAGTAGGATCAAAGACTGTTTATGGAAGAGAGAGAGAGAGAGAGAGAGAGAGAGAGAGAGAGAGAGAGAGAGA